AACTTTGCTAATACTGATAACTTTTTGGCTAAGCTAACATATCAACCTCAAAAACTCAGATGGATGTATGAGTCCTTTCGAAAGCATGAAAGGACTGAGAGAAACAAATTAAAAGATCTATACGCATGACCTCCAATCATCACTTTCTCAATCGATGTCTCTTGCCTCATCCTAATAACACTATCATATGCGGCACATTTCTGAACATTCACTATTTTTCTCATTTTCCACCTTTTTCCAATATCTAAGCTCCTATATCAAATCTTTCTGCATCTTTATCAAGTCAATTTCTTCCATGACTTATAGACTTTGTTCATTTCAGAGCTTCGGCATCAAATGCCATCTCTTACAATTGCGCTCACACTATCTGCGCTTCTTGCGCCTACTGTTGCGCTAAATATTTTAGGTTTGTTCACTTGGTATTCTAATCATAGAAATTTTCGACAAACGTTTTCAGTATGGAGTAGTACAATGGGGCAGAGTCATATTAACTTCATCGGCAATATAGCCGATACGTTACGGGAAGATGGACACAATGTGGTAAGATTATGAATTTTTTCATATTTTTCTCCTACTTCCAATGCTTTGAGGGAGTTCATATGAAATTTTCAGCGTTTAGTGTCATAAGGTTCTTCATTTTTGAATTTTGAAAAAAAATTGTAAGTTTCCGTTACCGTTTCTTATAAAAACTAGGTAAACGAACAGTAAATTGTATATTTATTTTGTTCTACCAAATTTTTTAACGTGCTAACCCATATTTTATGTGAAAAAATTTCCCTTCATTCTGCCTTTACAGACATTGCTGTTCGTGGAATTCGATCCGGATTTTAAGGTAAATACGGGTACAAAGCATGTAGAACATATAATACGGTAAGTTAGTAACTCTCCTATGTCCATATTTCTTTGTTATGCTGCATCTTAGTGAAACTATTAATGTTGCAGGTATAGTTCCCCGTATCATAACTCAGCTGATTGGCGTTCATTGACGTTTAAGCGAGGCATAGTATTCAATTCTATTTTTGGTTTTAACTTCATCGATTTGATAAAAATTCAAATTTATGTATATAGGGTCTGCAAAGGTTAGGCCTTGAACTTTTTTATACTTTAAAGTCATCATTACTTCTTAAACTTTTAGGAATGTTAGAAGATCCAGGGCTAATTCAACTTTTGCACGATTCCAAATTTGATCTAGGAATTTTCGAAATGTTTCATAGTTGTCCAGCTGGAGTGATGGAGCTAGCAGGTAGAC